CACCTGCTCAAGCGCATTAATACAGTCAGCACAGAGTAGGATTATATTGTTCTTCCGCAGTAAAAATGGGGCGACGGCAATGCAGCACAGCCCAGAATTGTCAAACAATTCGTGCTACTCCTATGAGTGCCAAAGTCAATGATACAACGCCATGTATAGAGGACAAAAGCGGTAGAAATGTACAGCCTTTGGGAAAGCAAACTGAATTAATTTCGGACGGGAACGTAAGGTGCTCTCTCGCGTGGCAGCTTACCAGACGGGATTGCGTCGGTAGGATACAGTTACAGATAATACCGGCACACGACACAGCCAGGATCCGTTTTGCAACCATTCCAGACTGGTTATATATTGACGGAAGCATCTCAAACAAGTCGCAGGTGCCTGTGCACGCTCGATCTTACGATGTTTTCAAGACTCCGGAGGAACTAGGCATGAAGAATGGGGATATCACGCACGTCGAGGATTTGCTCAGGCGACAGCTGCAACGCCCGAAAGTTGTAAAAGATCTGTTGGGCGAATTGCAATTGCCGGTTTCCCTTGGAAGAGACTGAAACCATCAACATGGAGCTAATCAAAACGACATACAAGTACAGTATATTGGTTTATAGACAGCCTCACGAGATCCGAACGTGATTTACCTGAAAACGATGACTGGCCGAGTTACCATTTTGTTGCCTGATGTCTACTACCACCTTGTCAGACCCGAAGAACGCCTTGCAAAAGAAGGAGGGAATCCATTTAGAGCGGGCGAAGGTTAATCTATGGTGGAAAACAGTCAGATGATTGTAAACTTTACGAAGAGATTGAAATGGAAGTAATTGCCGCTGACTTTCGACAGTCGAGCCACTCTCCGATTACAAAATCCCATACATCAGTATACACCTTCCAGGACGCTTGTTTCGACACAGGTGCAGTTCCAGCGCTACTTCCGAGTCGCCTCTATGCTTGCATCTGTGAAAACATTCCTCTCATTGCAGTTGATGTAGCTGACTGCCTTCCTTATTACACAGAGAGGAACGATATTTGTCGTCACTCATTTGCGGGGAGGTGGTGATGGCAGTATTCGCTGCGTGCGTGTCATGATTAAGGGCGAGAAGCAAACCATTGTTGTGAAGGCGCCATGGAATCTTGACCAGTTGAAAAGGGCCATCCATGAAAGATTCCATATCCCAGCCATGCAGCAGATGATCTCTTTACATGGGGTTCGCTTGAAGCAATGGGAGCCAAATGACGACAATCCTGAGGTCCTAGAGTTCTCCTTGCTTCCCACGGGCCAGGTCCGCATGGGCATTGGCATCGGTGGTAATATCAAGGAGCACATCGGATCGGACGAACACGATCCTCGCATATGAGACGTTGCGAACTCAAGGATTCTCAATATGCAACTCGTCAATTCGATCGACTGTCACGACATCACTGGACGTCGCCCTCCCTCGACACCCATTACTCCATCTAGTTATGCTGCGAGGACAAAGTCACTAGTGAAGATGACAGCGGTGTCGCCATAACCGCAGATAATGCTATATCGGTCAGAATTGGTAAGAAAACGGCAGGAGACGTAAGTGGGAATAACGGCAAACGAAAGCGAGATCAGCACTTAGGACCTCGGGCGTCGAAGCTTCGTAATAAGTGGTAATTTTCGACAGAAGTTGACGTATCATGTATCGGTACGACGATGTCTGAAAATACTTCTTGCGCTGTCTAGCACGGATATCCCATTGTCTGCAGTGTACGGAGAGGAATATACATAGGTATACGAGATATCCCTTGGAGTATTTGTAAAAGCGGCGTGGTTCACTGGGGTCTCAACAGGCACCCACGCACCAGTCTCCTAGGCCTTGGTAAAGCGGCCGGGGCATCTCTCTCCGGACTGCTGACCATCTAGTACACGCCAGTTACATGCTTGCGGACGCGCTGCGTACACAAAATCCAACAGCTACCGACGTCCTTTAGCAGATGGTTGATTATGGCGGGTTGCAATTAAATGCAAAGGATTTCGTACTTTGTTTTGCCCTCGTGAGCGTCTTGCAGAGTTTCCATTCCCCTTCCCGTCGGTCCTCTTTGCTGCGTCTGTTCCTTCTTTGAGCCGGCGTCCTCAACCCGTCCATCCAACATGTCAGGCACCAAGCGGATAGAGAAATGGGAAATTGACCGATACTGGGAGATCTTCTCCTCGCTCGTCCAGCAGCCCGCCACACCCTCCTCGCGCCTGACCAACCAGGCCGCAGCCAATGTCCTCCGAAACTCGCAGTTGCGGGATGACCAACTCGAACGTGTGTGGGATCTTGCGGATGTCGATGGGGATGGCGAGCTGGACTTTGAGGAGTTCTGTGTCGCCATGCGACTCATCTTCGACCTCGTCAACGGCGAATACCAGGACGTGCCTCCCAGTCTGCCTGACTGGCTCGTCCCAGAATCCAAGGCTCACTTGGTCCAGGCGAACCGAGCCTTGACAGGCCACCAACAGGCGCAGTTTGAGAGGATCGAGGATGACGAAGAAGACGCTGGGTTGAAGGATGGCTTTGATTGGTACATGAATCCTGGCGACAAGCGAAAGTACGAGGAGATCTACTCTGCAAACAAGGATCGGAGGGGCGAGATCAGCTTCGAAAGCCTGCACACGCTCTACTCCAGCCTGGATGTGCCGGATACAGACGTGCGGAGTGCGTGGAACCTCATCAACACAAGTGGTCGAGATACTATCTCTAAAGACGCCTGCCTCGCTTTCTTGCATATCCTGAATTACCGTCACGAAGGCTATAGGATACCGCGCACTGTGCCGCCGAGCTTGAGGGCAAGCTTCGAAGGGAACAAGATTGACTACCAGATTGACAATGTCCGAAACAGGCCAAACAAGTACGACGAGGAGACGCCCACAGGACGAAAAGCCAAATTCGGAGATGCTTATTTGAGCCGCATTGGCGGAAAGGGCGGCTCTTCCTACCAGCCCAAAGGCACCGACTTCTCCGATGTGGTGGAGGACGAGGACCTGGAGAAAGTCAGGCTTCTACGCGAACTGCGCGAGTTGGAATCCCAGCATGATGCCGCGGTCGCAGCCTCGGATCGAAGACGGAAGCAAAGATTGGAGAATGGAGGTCCCAGACAAGCGGGGAAAACGAATTGGACGCTGGTCAAGCGCGAGGCGCAGCAAATGCTAGAGTACAAGCAACGACAATACGTCGAGCTCAGTTCGGAAAATGGGAATAAATCAGGCGGTGATCTGAAGAGACTGAGGGACGATCTTGCATTGGTATCGGAGCAAATAGACGGGCTCGAGTCACACCTGAGGAAACGGGAGGCAGAACTGGAAACCCTTCGCCGGGAAATTGAGAACGAGAGGGCGAGCAGGTGACAGGGCAGGTTTGTGCAAGCTGGAGAGAGCAGACATGGATCGCGAGAACAATTCAGACCGCTCAAGGGCACCATTTGTTCCTCTCAACAAGGTGCTCTGTACATGTTGTACACATCTGTACTCTCCATTGCGATTTCGGGCAAAACAAAAGACGCCTCCAAAATCCGGCTACCTATCGGTTCGTACTTTTCGAAGTCCGTCGGTGTTGTATGTGTCGCCTCTCTTGAAGTTTGCTAGATTCCTGTCAATATCGCAGCTTCCATTACCTCAAGGATTGATTGGGGGATCGACCCACCATCTGCTTCTTCCCAAGCTCTTCCGGCGCCGAAGCCGGTTCCAAAGTACACTGGCCACGCTCTTCGCTTGAACAACAGTACTGAGAATATGACACCGAAGGAAAATCCGAGTGCGGATCTGATGACAAAGGACGAAACAGCACGATCCCACTGCATACAATGTCAGCAATTGGCCTTTTCTCTCTCCCTCAATGCGCAGTAGAAACTCGGAAGGATGCTGAGTGTCGTCGGGAGGCTATTCGCATGGATATTCCAAGCCAAGGACCTCCCACCGATCAATGGTCTCGAATGTGCACATACCTTCTCATTCAACAGAGCTTCGCTCACCGGTCTTGATTTGGATGCCGGTAAGGGAGGGCTCGAAACATTGTCGTCCGGCATCTTGAAGACTTCAAGCGGTTCTGTTAGTAATCTACCCAGAATCGGGCGCGAATGTCGTACCTTCGGAGCGACCCAGGTGTATGTATTGCCTCGTGGACGTCAAGAGAGAAGATGGTTGCAAAGCTGTTGTCAAACTGAGAGCTTTGACAACCTGCGCAGTTCCGGGCGGAAACAGCAACCAGCTCACGAAAAAAGGTACCAGCCAATCGGAGCCTGTCTTGGCAGCTCAATCTGCCCAGCCTTGCCAAAGACGAGAAGGCTATCTCTCCTCACACCACCTGCTGCCTTCGCCAACTCTACCTGCACTACATGGACCTTGTATCGACATTCCTGTACACTGGAACCAGATCTGAGAACTCACCTTGCCCATTAGATCTGCAGACCGAGGCACAACAAGAGTACAACAACTTCTAGGAGCAACGCGCTCACCACCGCCTTTGCTTCCGTGGTGACGAGTAGTCGACTGGATCCTGAGTTTCGTATATAGGGGTTCCCTTCCCACCTTGGCCCGTCAACAAATCGAGAGAAGACCCATCAAGGATTGACTGAACAACAACCGCAACAGCAATAACAGGAATAGAAAATACTTGTAAAAGAAAAGGAGGATGAGGAGGATGAACGGAGCGGCTGTTGCTAGTCACTAGTGCGCCGTTACCAGAGATGAGAAAACTACAAGTATTGACAATCCCAAGCTTATTCAATAAAAAAAAAATATGTACTGTCTGGATTACATCCGCCAAATGCCGGTTGTGAGCGTTGCAGAGATCGTTTTCCTCCTTCCACTCCCCTCTCCCCTCTCCTTCCCTCTGGTCACCCTTTGCCTTGGGTTTCATGTATTGATCGAGAGTTGAGCTCGAAAACGTGTCGACCACCTCGCCGCCCCGAGCTAGCTAGAGACACACCCCATCCCCTCCAACAACAACGAGAATGAGGATGTGGGCCAGGCGGTAGCGGGCACACAAGCTGGTTACCTAGCGCAGCCAATATCCCTTTCCGATGGCCATGTACATCGCTTTCTCCCGCCATGTCAGGCGTCGGTTGGGAGGAGGTGCTGGCCCCTTGCCTTTCCCGTGACTCTGCCCTGTCTGCCTCGTGGTATCCGAGCCCGGGACAAATTGTGAGGCGGACTGAGGACGCGAGGCTGCTGGCGAGGATGGCGACGGCGGCCTCAGGCTCAGGTTCGAACCTGGCGACAACACCGTCCTCGGAGACTGCAACGTCGGTGGCAACTCTGAGCTAGACGCTGTCGAAGGAAGCCAGTCCTGAGTCATGTCAGCAAGAGGCGCAGGATCAAGACCAAGGGCTTGTGCCATCCGGTGTCCTTGTGGGGGAACGGTGATTTCCTGCTCGTCGCCGCGAGACGGTGATGAAGTTGAATCTCCAACGTCTGCTGCTTTAGCCCTGGCTTCAAGCTTCAGCCTCTTGGTACCGTCCATAAGGTCGACCTCGACCCCGGGGCTCTGCGTCACATTTACAGATTGCTGCAGCACATCAACCTCGAACTCGCGGTACTCCTCCATCTTTCTCTTCTTTTCCGATCTCGGCCTGGCAAGACTCCCGTCGAGCCGTCGCATCCCCTGGAAGCCAAAGGTCGGATCGAAGCAGACAAAAACCAGAGCCCGTTCCTCCGATCCCGGCTCTCGCGGTGGACCGGCCATATATATGATTCCCTCGTCTCCTAGCATTGCCTTGACGTCTCCAGCTCGACCTTTAGGGCAGAGAATCTCGTGTAGATCCTGGGGAGCATCATCCCGGGGCCAGAGACAGACGCTACTCGGCGTGAAGGCTCTCTCTCCATCCTCCATCTCCTGGCCCTCCCGATCCCGTATACGCTTACGAAGCACCCACTCTACAGGACTCACCGTGTCTTGGACTAGAGGGCTAAGCTCCTGTCTGCTCACCACACGGAGCTTGATTCGTTGCCGAGGGCGCCATTCGCCTTCCATGACAACGTCATCCGTGACGAGATCGACGAAAGCCTGCGCGTTGAAAGAGTACCCGTTCCACTTTGTCTTAGCTCGGATATATTCTTTCGCCATCTCCTGCCCACTGCCGTCGGCTCGAAACTCGGCATGGACGTATCTATCAGCCCGAACCATCGATTCCTCCCATCGACTGTTGTTGTGCTCGTCTAATGTGGTACTTAGGCGATCGTTGGGAGGATGTCGCAACCCTTCTTTTAAGTCTTTAAAATCCGCGCGGCGTATGGGTTGCGTATAATAAGTCCTGATTGATCGACTGCCGCCGTTGAGCCATTCTTTTCTCCCCTCGACCACTAAGAGTTCGCCCGTGGAGTAGTCTATCTGGAAGCCAAGGTCATTCCAAGCGTCGTTTATAGGTCCTTCGAGGTGCTGTCTTCGCCAGATGAGTTTGATTGTGAGTTCTGGGTCTGGGTCGTCCAGGCGAAACTTGATGACATGGTAGTAACTTGTCCAGTCCACCTCCTCGCTCTCAAAGCTTGTCTGGCTGGCGACCGCGTAGAATTCGTCTTGGTAGATGGTAAAACACGCAGTCGATCCTATTTCTGAGCCGTAGAAATCTCGCAGCTGCAGTGGCTGAGCAGTTACCGACTCTGACGTTTCCAGACTGTAGACATCTAGCAACCACTCATGGTGGTTATGACTACCGGTCGCCGAGTGAGAACCCAAAACTATGAACCTGTCATTGTTCCGGACGAAAAGCTTGTTGTTAGATCGGATCGGTACGCATAATCGGACGCGAGGCCGAGGGCCATACCCCGACGGATTCGAAGGTTTCTTATCATCTATATTCACTGCGAGAATATATTGCCCAAAGGGGCCAAAATCACACTGCAAAACCACCATGCCATCGGCGTAACTCTGAACCTGAATAGATTTGATGGACTCGAGACCTATGCTGGCTTCTTCCTGATTCGCAATGCTGAGTTGATCGGTGAAGACCCCGCTGCCAAAGACCTTCTCGGTGTCTCGACGATCGTTGAAATTCAGAATGCGAAGAGTGTTCGAAGTCGTATAGCATAAAATCCCCAAGTTGTACGAGAAACTGTTCGCGTATGCTATAATACAAGCTGAGTATGGCGACGCCTGTTGCAACGCAGAATGAGAGTCGACAACCCGAGCGAGGGTTTGCCTGGGACCAGGTTGTGCTGGTGACAGGGCAAGCTGCACCCAAAGACAATGCCGCAGACTCGCCTGATGTGGTCAGCTCATGCTCCATTGTAGATAATGCCTCCGGGATGGCACCTGTATGGCATGCTTTGCGGTATTCTCATTCTGAAGGTGTCGACGCAAAGACTTGGACGTCTTCGCCAGTCTATCGAACGAGCAAATGTCGAGCTGGCTTGCAATCTGATGGAGCACATCGAACGGCAGCTGGGAGAAGCGAGAGGACATGCCCGTCGACGACAACGAAGAAGTGGTGTAGAGACGGGAGCTCCTTCTAGCGTGATCATGAGGCAACGAGGGTGGAACAGAAGGTGACGGACTCTGCGGGAACGAAGAATCATTATCACACTGGAAGAGGACGGGGGAGGGCAAGCAATGAGGCTCAAGTTGGAGCCGATGCAACCATTAGCTCTGCCGTGAAATATGTCCATGGTTGATTGCAGGGGTAAATGCCCAATGACCCACGCGGAGCCTCATGTGTCAATGGATCATGGATTGAGTATTCGCTTGTCATAAGCCGGAGGGGCCGATTGACAAACAGCCACATGTCCGATTCGTGTATGTAGACTGATTCGGAAGTCTAAGGATGGGTTTCGCCTGCATGGGCTTTCCACCCGGCTTTTGGTGGGAGAAAAAGGACGGAAAACGGTCAGGCTGCAACCTTGAGAATGATTCGAAATGGAAAATGATCCGAGAGCAGGAGCGTGCAGAGCCTCCTCAACCTCCTCAGCCTCCTCCTGGTGGTGGAGTTTATTTCACAGCCACTACCCACAAGTAGCTACACTGGCACGTGACTCCCCCACTTTGCCAACCCTCAATAGTGCCGCCAAGACCGATTTCGCTTGTTACTTCCGCCCCGGTACAAGGACCGACTACCCTACCCAGTACTAGGTATGTCCCGAGTAAGGACCTCGTACGAGGGAATACCTCCACACTTCCCCGTTCGAACTCGCTGTGTGGCAGCTTGACGGATCTAACGAAACTCTACACTTCAAGGCCTCCAGTTCAATGCACTGATTCAGTTCCCTACAGCACATCCATCCGCTACCACTACCACTAGCACTTTCTCCTCTCCACGTACGTCTAGACTGCAAGTCCCAAGTCCCAAGTAGCTAGCAGAGCCGCACTCGGCGCCGTACAGCTCCAGCGCCAGGGCATTGAACCAGGCAACATGCGGTCACCAAGTCTTTGTGGAATATTTCCTGGTTCTCGTTTCGCAACCCACCAATGTCTGCTGCAGGTAGACTGCCGACTCCGGGCGAGCTGCTCATACTGGGTACAACTCAACCTCGACCACTGCCGGCTTGAAATAAGCTGAGTCTCGCCTCTCGTGTTGTGCCGCTATCGAGCCAAATCCGGAGGTAAGTTTTCTTAGCGTTGGTCGTCACTCCTTTTGTTATGTTATCACCCGACACGTTGCCGTATGCGCTATTCGCTTTACCATGCACGGATTACAGCACTAGAGTCACAAGGTCGATGAGCGGGCATAAGGTGCGGCAGTACTTCCCTGGCGCATGACAGAGCTTCTAGCCACAGACAAGGCTCTCCGTCGGCAGTGACAGTTGGGCCGCCGAGGCCAAATTCTCCCGCAAATCACGGCGGGTTCCTTGCGGAGAAAGAAAAGCATAGCAGCTATCATCCGATTAGAACCAGGTACAGAGGCAGATGCAGTAATGGTGTGCTTGGTGTGCTGGCAGGGTGTTGAACAAAACTACCGTCGGTGCAACGCGGCTCGAATTTGTCGGCACACCCAAAGCCCTTTGGCCAATCGTGCTTAGGAGGCCGGTTGCAGTGCAGAAACTGTTGTTGGCAATTCAGTTGTGTTTTTTGGTCCTGCAGAGCGGGCGGGCTGTGTCTTTGCGCCCGGTTCGTGTTGCGCCCAGCTTCTGTGTGTGGGCTCGGTCCAGAAGCCCGTAGGACTGCGCCTTGTGATTGATGACATGGCCAGCTTTAGACTTGCAGTGTCTGGTGGCCGCGAGGAGAAAACAGCAAAAAGCAGAATTTAAAAGTCAGAAAGCAGTAACTGAGAAGGTAGGCGGATGCAAGTGAGAGGTCACCTTTCATTTCCTGTCGGCTTGACCACAGGTCATGGGATAAGGGCCCGCGCTGTGCAATTGGTTACACAGCCTGTCATCCCACATGCGTGGCCAGATAGAGGTGCATCGATTCGTCTCATCGTCAGTGACTAAAGGTGCGTGGGCGAGCGATAGAGTTAGGGTTTGAGGACGTGGGAGGCAACACAAGGCACGCTCGTGCCCGTGAGAATGAAAACAAGTGTCATTGGTGCTCGCCAAACAGAGATCTTATCGAGTCAATTAGAGCCATGAAGCCCGGGCCTATATTTGGGGGACAACACCCAAGCAACACCTAATACCGGATCGAATGGCCTTTGTTTCTCCCGCATGGTCAGGCATTGGTGTGGAAGGGGTTGCTGAGCGAGTATATGTGTCTCAGCTCGCTCGGTTGAACTTGACCTTCCTACGTGGCCTCATTCATCACGCATCTTCCACCGAGAGCCTATCTTGACGGGCACACCATCTAACTCTTGTCCCACTTGCCAAATTGTGACCAGCTGTCGTACAGCCCTTTGAAAATAGTTCTGCTGCTTGGATCCAGACCGGCATTCATTGCCCTCATCACGTCTCTGTCGAGCGCGTCCATGACCCTGTACATACCAGGCAGCAAATGATCCTTCATCGACGGTGATATCTGGCCATCAAGCACACATCGGCAATATTCCATGACTAGATACTGCATGTGTTGGCCTGCCAGTTTTCGAGCTCGGTTCACTGCGTCATTGAGCTCGTTGTGCCCGCCCTTACTTGATGATCGTGCAGCTGCCACGGTGGGATTGCAGATTGACGACAATAAGCGAGAAAATTGCTCAGCCGAGGACAGTGGTAGGGGCTCTGCGGATTCGTGCAGCCATTTGGGCAGCGACATTCCGAAAGCATTGATGGCATTGGCTGTGGGCCCTCGTTGGCTTTCCAGCGCTTTATGCCCAGGCCAAAACAGACATCGCAGAAGACACTGCAAAATCGGGAGCAACAGATGATAACGATCAGTGAGGCGTCTTCGGTGTCTTCCAAGTATAGTGCCGATGACTGTGCAAATTCGTTGATAAATGTCGGCTGATCGCGGTTCCCATTCTGAATTGCTGGCCTTTAGTGATCGCACGCTGTGAGATCCGGCTGAGGCAGCGGCGTGGATAGATGCGAGCAACCGGTCAAGGATCGATTGATTTACCACTAGTGGATGAAGGTGGAGCACAGCTTTGCTGTTTTCCAAGGCAAAGAATAACCCGGTGGTGCCCACCTGCGCAGACGTGTTGGCCACACACGCGATCTCTGCTAAGCCCTGGGCCAGATTCGGGTATTGTGATATATCTTGCATCTTGATACGTACTAAGATGCAAGCCAAAATAATAGCGCATGCTGGCTGATACTCCGTTTGATCGCTCTTCTGGCGAAGAAACTCAAGCGCCACAGACCACTTGGCAGGTTCGAGCTGGCAAACAAATAGCTCTGCCTCAGCAGCAAGAGCTGCGATTCCCTCATTCGTGTAGTTGTCTATAGGTGTGATTAAGGAAGCCAGCTCTTGGACGTGCTGTTTCTCGGGCAGAGTTGATTGGATGCGTTGTCGAAGGGAAAGCTTCATTCGCCGACGTTGTTTGTCAGCATATTCCTTCCCAGCGACTCCCTCTGCGTGCGCAATCTTATCCTGAATAGACGATGTGATATGCCGCAACTCATCCTTTAGGCCGCCTTTACTAAGGCACTGAACGGCGTCAACAATTAGCTGTAGTCTGTGGAGGTTTGCGTGATTTGGTATATCGGCAAGAGCTTGGCCGGATTCCGCTTTCACACGCCTTGCAAGGAACGTTTGCAAGAATCCAACGTCCTTATGTTGATCGCTACTGTCCATTGCGCTGCCCAACTGGTATGAACAGTCAAGAAAGATTCGCAAGCAGGAGAGTGGGACACAGTCCTCACCGCCCGTCTCCAACTTCTGGACTGTTGCTACCATGTAAGCCAGAATTTCTGTCGTTGTGGGCTTCGAAACAGTCAGAGCTCGCGCTGCGATTGTCTGAAAGACGCGGTCCATCATTCGTACAACCATCATATATGATGACGCGTATGTTGGGTTGTTCATGACCGTTGTTTGCGAGGACTCTCGATATTTCCAATCGAGTACTTCCGCGGCGAAGTCAATCCAATTGCGCCAATACCTGCAGTCAATGAATGCACCATGGAAAGTCGAATCCAAGTGAGCCAATAGGCACAAGTCATCTGAAACCACCTCCATTTTGGCGTGCTCGCGCTCCTCAAAAAGGTGACGGAGTGTTGAAGTCACAAAACCCTTTATTGCCGGCTTGCTCATGGTATCCATCGAGAGATAGTGCAGGAGACTCAGACAAATCTTTCTGCGTCTGCTCGTCGACCACAGATTCTTGTCGACGTACTCGAAAATCAGCAGCTGTAGATCGGGAGCACGGGAAATTTGCTCAACTTGCAACACAGCTAGTAAGAGATCACGCAACTCTGGTGAAGAATCCACCGCTGAATCTGGTGGCAAAGATCGAAAGACGTTTTCTAGGCAGGCGTGAATGAAGGCCTTGAAACTTTCGGGGTACATTGAGATTGTCTCGGATCTTTGCAATAACCTGCCGACACATGCAGCCACCAATTTATGGACGCTGTCGCAGTTGGAGGTACGTCCATCCCACAAAGTCACGCAGTATCCATCGAGGTTGTCCATAAGATCTGCCAGATGACTCATTTCCGCTTCCAGTCTCGGCTGGTATTGGCTCGATTTTGCAGCCAGCTGGACAAGGAGGGAGAAGCACTCGAGACATTCGAGATACATAGCAACCTGCCTGTTAGTTACACTCTCATTGGACTTCGGAATATCCTTTAGCGACACAAAGTGATAGGTGGACTCCAGCAGAGAGTCAAAGTTGACCGGCAGAGCTTTCATGCCCATCAGTTCCACCAGAAGTCCAATTAGCTTCCTCAACCTCCAGCGCTGGCCCTGATAGTCGGAATTTCGGGACAGCGCGTTCATTGCCCCGAGGAGTAGGCCGGCCAGTTGTTGGTGGTCGAACCCGATGTTTCTGGGCTCAGACAATGTGCTTTCCAAGATTGCGCAGAAGACGGCTAATCTTGCAAAAACATCCGCTGTAGAACCGATCTTCTCTCCAATCTTTTCGATCGGCTCAGCCAGACTTT